CACTCTCCATCTTAAGACAGAATTTCTCACTGAACATGAAGGTAGGCTGGTGGTCAGCAAGCCCCGGTGATCCTCCTGTCCCCATCCCCTACAGTGCTGGGGTTATAAGTACGTATGGCCATGCCCAGTTTCTTATATGGATGCTAGAGATTTGAACTCAGGTCCCATGCTCACTATGCAAGCACCTTATCCACTGAACAATCTCCCTAGCTTCTGCTGTTTTATTCTTAGTGTCTAGCAGAGTTAGTACCTGGACATAGTCCTTAATAAACATTCCTTACCCAATGAAGATTAAATGAATGAATGAACAGGGTCTTGACCTCATATAAAAGGAGTAAGTAATTAAGGCTTTCCAGCCTGTGTGGGAGGGTAATGACTTAATGCTGGGCCCAGAGCCTTGCTTTTCAAGTTCAAATCCCTGCTCCTCTTATGTGCTGTGTCTTCCAGGGTTTATTGTGTAAGCTCTCAGGACCACATTTTTCCCTTCGGTAAAACTGGACTAATGGAGCCAGGCATGATGGCGTACGCCTTTAATCCCAGCACTCAGGAGGCAGAGGCAGGTGGATCTTTTTGAGTTCAAGGTTCTAGGACAGCTGGGGCTACAAGGTGACCCTGTCTCAAAAAGACAAAAACAAACAAACAAACAAACAAAAACAAACAAAAAATTGAACTAATGATACCACCCTGTAGAACCGTTATGAGAATCAAGTGAAACAATCCACCCAAGGCACTTGGCACAGTGCCTGGCGCATAGCAAGTCTCAATGCCTGTTTCCTGCTATCATCAGTGACTCACATGCATCAAGAAGTGCTCACAAAGTTCTTCAGGATGACCCCATCCTGGTCTGCTTCTACTGAGACTTTCCTTTGGGGGCACAAAAATGAGAAAGTCTGCCCTCCAAAGCAGAGACTGTCTCTGTGGACAACTCCATCCTAGGGGTTCACTGAACCACTGATACCCTAGTTATCCCCTTTCTGACGCATATTAAACATTCATCTGCTCAGATGGGCTCCAAAGAGACCCATTGGAAATAGCTCTTCATTTCTTAAATGTTATGCTGGGATTTATTTCTAGTAGTTTTTAGTCTACAATAAATAATTGCTTAAGGGTATACTTTGCAAACATTTGTAAATCTTTCCTTTTGCCCTGTGACAACAGAGAAAACCATGTCAAATGTCTTCAGCCAGTTTGTATTTTGATACAAGTTTTATGAAGACAGGCAGTTGCTCATTGGTAAGGCTAGGAGGCTGGGCTTTGGTCTTAAGTTCCAGGGAGGCTGTGCAGAAATTGAAGATGACATTGTTGCCAGGCATGACTGTAGCTTTTCCATTGCCATTAATTAAGCACATGACATGCACATTGTTTATTTTCTCCCTTGGAGTAAAAGAAGTGAACTTGACTTTGTGATTTTTTTTTTTTTAGTATTTCTTTTTTGAGACAGGGTCTCCCTATAGCCCCAGCTGGCCTTGAACTCACTATGTAGACCAGGCTGGCCTGGAACTCACAGAGATCTGCCTGCCTCTGCTTCCCAAGTGCTGGGACTAAAGGCGTGCGCCACCACGCCCGGCTTGACTTTGATTTTTGATAGGAGGCTATGAGCAGGTTCAGGGAAACATCAAAGAAACATTCCTAATCTAATAAAACTCTCAGAAATGAACATCAAAAAGTTCTTGATTCCAAAGCTAAGTTAGGTTTTTTTTTTAAACCCCCTATAGAACATTAATTCTCCTAATGACTAAGAAAGGTGTAGAGGTAGAGAGTTCCCCTGCCCAGTGTATTAAGGTCTAGAAGGTTCTCACACTCTTTTGTTTCCTTTGTAACAGTGCATACACCTTTGCATTTTATACTGATGATGCCTTCAAGATCTCAGTTTTTAAAGTCTTAAAACCTTTTTCATGCTAATTTTAGATTATTTTTAAAAATAATCATAGCTAAAGCTTGAAATCAACTTTTTATGCTCCTAAGCCCTTAGAAATGAAAGTATAGACAGGTTAAGATGATTGTATAAGTGGAAGGCCAGATGGTGCTTTTGCAGAGAATGAACCTAGTATTGGAGCAGTCTGTTACCATGTCTGCTCTGGTCCCACTAGAACACTCATTTGTTCACAACAAATGGCTCCCCTGTGCCAGCAGAGTGCAGGCCCTGTTTTAAGCTCCAAAGAGCCGTGAATAAATGAGTAAAAAAGCCTATTCATAATAGAGTTTATGTTCTAGTGGACACCCAACATAACTACATTAATTTTAGAGTGTATTGGAAGACCTTAAAAGCTGCAGAGAAGAATAAAATAGTGAAGGGAATGCTGTTATTGAGTTGGGTTGCATTTTATATAGGATGGCCAGTGAAGACCTCGCCGATACGGCAGCACTTGAGGAATGCTCCGAGGGGCCAAGGGAACCTGTCGTTGGCACAGGTTGGGGAACTAGCAGAGGCAAGTGCTTCGTTGTGAGGCAGGGGGATACTGGTGGGTAGGTGAGGCAGAAGGTGGCCATACAGCCGGAAGGGCATGAAGTGAAGGCAAATTGTGGGAGGTGTGGGTAGAGCTGTGGGCAGATGATTTAGGGTCTTGTGACAGAGGTGAGACTGCTCTTTTCTTAGATTGGAGCCATGGGTGGATTTTGAGCAGAGGAAGGTTGTGATCTAACTTACTTTGAACTGGATTGCTCTGACAACTGGACAGAAGCCAGGCAATCATACTAGTTAAGTGGCTGTTGAACTGCTTTAACCCCAAAATGGTGGCAGTAAAAAAAAAAAAAAAAAAAAAATGAAAGTGATGAGAAGTATTTGGTTTAAGTACATAGTAAAGGCAGAGCCAGAGGGTTTCTTAATGGGTCAAATGGAGCAATAATGAGTGATTGGACCCTGTTCCCTGCCAACCCAGGCCTTATTATTGATGGATCTTACAGATATCCAAGTTATTTTGAAACCATCACCCTAGCCCTGATTGTGAACTGTGGACATTCTGGCAGTCAAGAGAATAGTTTTGTGATCTCGTCCATTGTCATTGGTATCAGGTTAATTAATGAGCAAGATCTTTGCTCACTGGTATAAGTTGCTTAGTTTTTCTTGATGTCACTTGATAATATACTGTGGGATCACCTCTTGGGGAGGACCTGAGGTAGGTACTGGTGTCATTCAGACCTCCACCTCAGCTCTTCAAAGAGCTGAAAAAGAGCTGGCAAGTGTGAGAAGCTATAGTAGAGACAGGGAGTAGGAGGACAGTCGGAAAACTTTAGTAAAAATCTTGAAAAGAAAAATATCAGAACGGTGAAACCTGTTATCTTTTCCTGGAAAGAGCATTCTTCCTTTGTTTCTGTTTCTCCTAGCCTCTAGTTGGAAGATAAAAGACATTTCCAAAATAACCAGAGAGAACACTAATAGACTAATTAGTGTAACAAAAACAAAGATCAAGGGCCATATTTAATAATTGATGGCTGTAGAGAGATGGGAATACACTGGCCTTGCAAGTGCCCCCTCTTCATTGCACCCACCCCAGTCTTTCCTACTTCAGCAAACCACAAAGCCTGTTGTGAGGCAACATGAGGACACAGTTCACTATGATGGTGGCCAAGGGTAGAGCCAAAAATATCCCACTGTTTATTTACTAGGAACTTCATTTCCTACTCCTGCCTGGCTCATGTGGGGTTGAGGAAACCTTAATCTGATCAAGCTCCTATCTCAGGAAGAGCAAAGGGTGGCCCTGGAAACTCTCATATGGCAGGTACAGCAAGCACGGGGGAAGAGGGCCAGACCAGTGGAAAATACCTTTGTGAGACTAAGAAACCCCTAAGGCAGATGAGACAGAGATAAAAGAGCAGGTGTGTGTGTGTGTGTGTGTGTGTGTGTGTGGTGCCTAAAGACACAACCTGGAACGTGTCAGGATAGGGTGATGGAGACACCAGATGGACTGACACTCAGTCAAACCAGATGGTGGGCTTTTATTTTTAAAAGGATTTGTAAATCCTAGGAACAAGAAGCCATAAGGGTACCGGAGCCTTTAATCTCATTATACAAGACAAAAGTGTGCACTTTAAAAATGTAAACCCACCAATTATAGAATTTCTGTTATCAAAACTTTAGGTTAGACAAACAGCTTTTCAAACTCTAGGGATTGAATTCTTTCTTGTTGGAAGGAGAAACTGCAGAATAGTCCAGGCATTATAAATTAATAGAGTTTTCTTTAAGAATTAGGTGTCAATTTAGTAAATGCACATTCTTTCTTTTCCTGCTTATAATGCTAAAGATTGAAGCCTGGACCCTGTGCATGTGCACAAGCACTCTATCACTGAGTCATATCCCCAGCCCCTAATATGTATTCTTAGCCTAACAAAACATGATATATTAGTATAAAATGGGCCCTGTGAAGTTAGAAGAAGAGCTAATATTATACCTAGCAACTGATCAACTTATTTTAGTATAATGTGAGTCAGTAATGAACAAGATTTAAAAAAATCTAAGCACAAGACCTGCTCCTCAGCTCTCTATCTATCCCACCTTTGTTTGAGAATCTAGAGTCATTTCCAGGATTTTCCAACAGGATCTATCCACAAGGAGAACAGACTCTCAGGTGTCTGTTTGGAGGCATCATTTGTACCTGTGTGTGACATGAGTGTGGAAGTATGTCCACAGACCGTGTCTCACTCATGTGGAGGCAGCAGAGGGCAGAGATGTAGGCTTGTGTGTGAGAATTCATGAGAAATCTGTCTTTGTAGCATGTAACACTTGATCCTCCTACTGAGATGAAAACCTAATGTAATCTAAAAAATCCAGAAAATATGGAAATATTATGAGAGCATTTTGAAGTAGTGTGGTAGTTAAATCATGTTTCTGTTTGGAATGTACAGCTATACCCATTATGTACTGTTGGTAACACTGCATCATTTTTATTGATGTTTCATAACTATTTCTTTCAATTACTACCAAAGTGTAGCTGTTATTTTGTGCTTGAAATTGAAAGAGCATCCTTCTGACTATTTCTGCTTGCTTATTTTCATCTCTGAAGGTATGGAAACCTGACAGACCCAAACTGTGAAGAAGATGGAAGTCCAAGTTCGTCAGAGTCCAAGGCCGTGATCAGGAAGTAAGTGTGTCTTTTCTAGCCATCACTAACTGTCAGAACAGTAATGTTAGCTGAGCATGGTGGTATGCACCTGTAATCCCAAGACCTTCAAGACTGAGGCAGGAGGACCATGAGTTCAAGGCTGGTCTTGACCGTATCACAGACCTTGTCTCATACCAAAACCAAAGTACTTTAGTAGACTTATTCCTTTGGATGCTACCCTGATTTTTCCCCGTAAAGCCTACATGCCCAGGCTTTTTAAAAAAATTACCTAATGATCCTTATTTACCCAGGAATAATTTATTGAGTGTGTACTGTTAGCCAGGCACTATCCTAAGGGATAGGAAATAGACAAGTATGTAAAACAAGTGAACAAAAACAATGATACAGCTCTTACGAAGTAAGAGTAAGCACAGAAGAGTGACGGAGAACAAGGCCAGGATGGTAGCCGGGTCCTGATGGGTTTCACCAGGTGTGTGGATCAGGTGCTCTGATCTGGTGACCCCCAAATTGCAGTTGAATGAGGTACAGGCTGAATCTTGTGATGTTGAGACAGAGAGAATGTGAAAAGGTCTCTGAGGTGGCAACAGTATTGGAGATGCAGCAGTGAGACAGCGAGAGACTTGGCAGGTACTCTGGTGAGATGCATGAGGTGGTGGTGACAGGTACAGATCATAAGAGGACGTGAAGGGCCTGGGAAAGGACATTGAATTTGATCCTGAGGAAGGTAAAAAAGCACACAGAAGGTTTTGAGAAAGTATTTCGGCCTCAGTTGTAGTTTAATAGGCTTGCTGTGGAGAGTGCACTGGCAGTGGGGCTAGAGGCAAAGGTGTTGTGCTAGCTGAGAACCTGGTTAGGACCTTTGCAAGGACCCAAGGCAAGGGTGATGGTAGTTTGGGCTCAAGCAAGGACAGTAGAGGTGCTCTGCTTCTGCAGACATCTTGAAGGCGTTGACAGGCTCTGCTAAACAGATGACCCATTTGAGAGCCAAAGAGGGGACCAGAACGCCTCCAAGGGCTAAGATTTGACCAACTGATAGAACCTCTGCTTTTTGAAACCAGCAAGACTAGGAATGGGGATCAAGTTTGATGGGGAGTGTGTGTCAGCAAGGTAGTCTTAGATGTTAATTTTGAGTTGAGAGGATGAGTCTGGTTTTGTAGATCCTTCTGGATAGAGGTGTATACTTAGCCTTAGTTTATAGATGGTATTTAAAACTGTGATACTGGCTATGATCTTCTGGGGACTAAAGAGAAGGTCCAAGGACTGGGCCCTGGGCCCTCTACTGCTTAGACTTAGGAAAATTGTGTCTGGCAGAGGAGACTAGAACAGAGCAGCTGAATGGGGGTGAGCAGAGGGGAGAAGGAGGAGGAGGAAATTTTAGCCCAGAAGGCATGGGAAGAGGAGTTGAAGAGGGGCAGAATACCGGGGTCAGAGCAGAAGAAATTCATTGCACATGGAATTTTGAGAAATGACATAGACCTGTTGGTGTTGCTTCTGGGTGTGCCTGTGGATAAGGAGAGCCTGTGGGGCTGAAGCTAGACTGGGGTTATGCTATACGGCCTTTAATTGCTCACAAAAGGGCCTGGATTTCTCCTGGCGAGCTATGGGCAGTCACCCATGGAAGGTTAGTTCAGGAGGGAAGCAGTATGAGAAGCCATCAGGGTGGGTTGGACTTGGGACCATCCTACTTAGCATGGCTGTGGAACCACAGCTCAGCATCACCAGGAAGCTTATTTGATGAAGATGCTCATGCCCCACCCTCAATTTATGGATTAGAATCTGCATTCAAAGATCAAGTGACTCTGAAGCACGTTAGAGCTTACAAATCATAAGAAGTGTTTAAAAATTGTTTCTGTTTATCCATGTAAACTTAACTAAAGTAACAACTTTTTAAAGAGAAATCTTTGAGTATGTCCAGAAGAAGAGATGCAATAGGAATTGAGTGATCAGCATGCCAAACATGCCCTAGACCTGTGAATGGATTTGGTCAAAGCCCTTTGTCACCTACGTGTGTTGGCACCAAGTCAAATTTAGAACTATCATTCAATTAGCCACTGGAATACCCAAGAGTAACAGTCTGAAACGTACCCGAGCCTTTCTGTTTCTCAGGGGGTGTTTTTGAGATTAAATAGGTTTGGGGGAAGTAGCAGTTAAGAAAATTGATTGTACCCTGGGATATGAAAAGTTGCGTTCATTATGTTAAAGTTCCACTGAAATTCATTGTGCACTGGGAACACTAACGTGGGTGAAACTCCAGGCTAAGCTGTTTTAAATAGCTTTAGAGTTTTAAGCACATGAAGCCTTAACAAAGAGCTTCACACAGAATTCCCCTGAGGGGTCTGTTATCTGAGGACAATAGTCCTTTCCCAAAGACTCACAGTGACTCGGTAGAAAGTTCTTGACCCTTTTGCTCAAACTGAGTTGCCTTTTTAAAGAATTGTGCTGGATGAAAACATACCACTTTATTTTATAATAGGTTGCTCTGTCCCACAGACTCTGGAATGTTAAAGTCCCCTCTCTCTGATGACCTCTTTCTACTTCCATTTCTCTTTCTTCTTTCTTCCTGTTTAATTTTTTCTACTCCTTAATTTTTATTCCATGTCCCCATTATCTTTTTATTCTCTCTCTCTCTCTCTCTCTCTCTCTCTCTCTCTCTCTCTCTCTCTCTCTCGTGACTATCCTGAAAATGTCCATTTCTACATATGGTCATTGCTTCATTTTTCTGAGAAGAAACTGAAGACGCACTTCTCCCACCCATATGTAACTACAAAATTCTCAAGTAGCCCAGACCTCTGACACCTGGAGCCACGAGTGAAGGCTTCCTCCTGACCCATAGATGTATGGAAGGCAGGGTACGTGGCATGGATTCTTGCAAGGTGACTTTGATGTTTGCCAGTATTTGGAGACATTTTGGCTGTGCTTGAGTGAGGTGCATACTCCTGGCATCTAGCAGGTAGAGGGCAGAGACGATGCTAAATGTCCTAGAATGCCCAGAACAAGGCTCCCCCCCTTACTGTCATGAGAGCCTCAGTAAGAAACCCTGCTGCAGTGTTGAGGATGTAGTCCCCAAGTGAAAACTGACTTCATTTGTGCACATCTAAGCATACTTACCTGGATATTTATCCATTCACATTACTTTTTATAATTAGGTGAATCAAATGCTGAGGTAGTCCAGGCCCAGCCACCTGGAAGATCAAAGACCAAGGCTCTGGGTAGAGCCCTCAGAGCTCAGTCCCAGCTCCTACGCTGGTACTGTCCCTCACCACCCATGTGGCCCCTGCTTAGCCACTTCAGTTTCACATTCTTCATTTGAAAAGTGAGCTCCTGGATCATCTGATCTCTGAGGTCCTTTCAAGTGCAGGTGAAATATTTGTGAATAATTTCTCTAAGGTGAAATAATGTGATTTTTCAGAAACCCAAACCAGAGATGTATTCCAAATATTATATTAGACTTTTGAGAGATATCTCTGACTGCTTTTCTCTCTTAAAAAGCCTGTAGCCAGCCTTAGTAAGACTGGAAGGAAAACGCAGACAGGCTTTTATTTACTTATTATTAAGCCATGACATCACAGCTGCTCTCTGTGGTCATAAAGATCAGAGCTGACACGCTGTCTGATGGAGCAAGGCCAGGAGTGACAGATGCTTGCTGTTTTCCTTTGCTCCAAATCTGTTCCATTGTGATTTCAGGTGGGCAGCAGACAGCAGGAAGCTAGTGACATTCTGATAACTCAGCATCCCACTTGGGGCAGACCTGGGGAAAACTGGGGGTGGCAACAGGGAATCACTATTGGATTTAACCGTGAGCAGATAAATACCCAAATATTGTTTGCTTTTTTTTTTCCAGTTTTTCTGTAAATCATAGAGGAATCGCACATTTCATATAGGCTCACATGTACCAAGTTATCAGTTTCCCTGATATTTGTAAATATGGATCTAATCAAGTTATCAGAGGACCTTAAAGAAGGAAAATAGTACTCAAGATGAAAGATTGGTTCCTGGTATACTGTGCCACATCTGACTTTTCATGCATTAAAAATAAGTTAACAGATTGCTCAGGGTGGTACTGTTTAGGCTTTCTACAGTACCTGGACCTCCAAAGTCAGCTGGCTCAGCAAGAATATCTTTAGTTGCCAAGAATCCTATCTCCACGTCTGGCTTCCAGATGTTAGGACCTTTGCCACAAAGTGACTTCTGGTGTTCAGGCTAGGCTGATGTAGAGAATAGTTGGGCCATGTTCCCCCCACCCCCACTAGGATCCCTAAAATGGCCACTATTTAGGAATCAGGAAACTCACTTCCTATGACAGCAGAAAATATCTCTGCTCCCATTCATTCCACCTGTGCCGCCTCATCCTTCCTGCCGACAGTTTTACGTGATAAAATGCTGTCTTTTAGAATAATAAAATTTGAACCAGTTAAGAAAAGGACATTTTTCATGAGACAAATTTGTTGCAACCATTGAATTCAGAAATGAGCAGAATATAAAGAAGGGATGGTAACCAGCCGTGTAGAACTTTATTCTTTGAAATGTATGAGAGCTCTCTCTCTCCCTCTCTCTGAGCGCACTGAACATGCCTAGTACCCCAACGTTCCAGCTCATCATCCCTAGTATTATGATTAATTACCGATATTGTTGATGATTGTCAAACATCCGATTGGTGGTTCTGCCTGGGCTGATGTGACAATGGCCCGTCACATCTGCTAGAATACTATGCAGCACTGAAGTGGGCCCCTCCTCTCTGTCTCTCTCTGTCCCCGTCTCCCCCTCTCTCTGTCCCTCATCTCTCTGCCCTCTCTGACCGTCATGTGAGTCCCCTGAAATCCATGCTCCCCTTCCATCCTCCTCTGTCCCTCTCTCTCACCTCTCTCTCCCCCCTCTCTCTCTCTCTCTCTCTCTCTCTCTCTCTCTCTCTCTGTGAACAACTTTTAAAAATATTTTAAAGAGATTAAAAACTAAATGACACTTCATATTTTTAATCTCTTTTCTAATATTGAGATAGCTTCTGTTTCCTTCTCTTTAAT